CCTACGACCTTTTGATAAACACAATTGTCGTCTTCGTTTTGAGTAAAATCAAACGATTTGATTTCAGTATCAAAACGAATGTTCCAGCTCCTTGAGGCTTGCTTAAGTCCATAAATGGACCTCAGAAGCTTGCATACCTTAGTCTTTGCAGACTTGGACACGAAACCTTCGGGTTGAGCCATATAAAGCTCTTCCTCTAGGTAGCCATATAAGGATTACTCCCTTGAGCGATGTGGGATGTTACAAATTTCTACATGTTTTTTCTTTGAAATTGAATAAATAAAATAACAAAAATATGTGGAGGAGTAGGGGAAAATGAGAGTAAAATTATAGCCACAAAAATACATATAAACAACATATAAGCAAAATATTTCATAATAGTTTTATTTTTATTTTTAAAGAGAGTAATTTCTACATTTTTTTTTCTTTGAAATTGAATAAATAAAATAACAAAAATATGTGGAGGAGTTGGAGAAAATGAGAGTAAAATTATAGCCACAAAACTACATATAAACAACCTATAAGCAAAATATTTCATAATAGAAATATTTTCAAAATATTACATATAAACAACATATAAGCAAAATATTTCATAATAGATAGATAGATAGATCATCACCTTAAACCATTGTAGTTCTCTTTACATTTGAAAAGCTACACCTTGAATGTCATAAATTTGTGACAATGGGCTAATAGTTGCCACATTAAGTAGCATATTATTGCCAAAGTCATCTTTCTTCCTCACTATTTTCGACTTTTCTAATTTTTGGTGGACATGCATATTTGTATTTTTTTTTTTGCACAACTCATCGAGCACATATATAAGATTATAAACTTCGTGGTAACAGTAATCAGTGGCAACTTGGAACAAGTTCTGACCTTTTTCATTATTCCAGTCAAATACGGAATATGAAGAATCCTTAAGAAAATGATTAATACACAATATATACTCCTCATGCCCTCGTTATGCTGCCACCAACATTGTTTTGGTCAACTGATCTATTGTATGATTGTTGATATATTCTCGACGGATAGCTTTACACATAAGAGGTAGAAACTGAAGGACCCGCTCATGCATCAATTTCATCTCATATAAACGTTTGTTTCCTAAGTTCATTTAAAGCAAGTACAAAATTACAATCATTTAAAATTAATATTGACTATTAATAAAACAATCATAAAAAAAAAAAAAAAAATTCAATTAACGATATGAATGTGTATCTGGCCTACCCAAAAGTAATAGGAAATTCGTCATTAGTCCTCGGAATAAAAGCATTCCTGCATTACAAGTCAAATTTGGTGAAAAACAGAGAAAAAAAAAATTATTTACCATTAATATGACAATCTTCATACTATGTTAGTTTCCGACATACTCACGTATGTGTATTACTTTTCTTTTTTCTGTTTTCTTACAAATATGTTATTTGTATCATATTTTTCTTATATCACATTTGTATCAGCTTTCTAATTAAAATGAAACGCATTTGGAACAGTGGGCCTACCTGAGCAATTGAGATGCCTTTGATTCTCTTTTGTCTGACAGATGCCCTTGATCACTTTTCTCACTTTCTTGTTTTTCCTTGTTGATGAAAAGAGGTTTTATGCGAATAACTACACAATGTCACAAACCAAACATTGTTAAACATTCCCAAGTAACTCAGCCCGCAAACCAAACATATAACAATGAATTTTCTTAATTAGCTATGAATTGTCACTTAATATTACAGTATAGTGATATTTTTTGTCAAAGTTAGAGGTTATATGTTCGAATCTCATAAATTTGTGTGAAATTACTTTTATATATGCTCCTTATTTTTTCATTTTTTATTTCTAATATCTTATGACACAAGTAGATAAACACCACCGATTTCCACAAAGTTAAGAAGACTAACATTTGTGTTTTTTTTTTAATTTTTTTTTTTTTGAGAAACACTACCATTTTTTTTGTAAATATATATACACCATTCCGTGCCATTCCCTTTCACTTTACCAACATGAAGTTTGAACCCAGCAAGCACCAAACGAGATTCAAAGTAGCAGTGGTTTTCAAGGAGAAAGACGAACAGAAAATAAAAAACAAACTATACAGACGAACACAAAATCAAAGTTTGAATGAGCAAATGATGTCAAGCAAGGGAGCTATAGAAGACAGAGACACCGTATTTTCTACGGGTGAGTTGAAATTGCGGGATTAGTTCAACTCGTACAATTAATGAATTCGTTCAACTAGTAATCCTACAATTAAGGGATTATGTGCAGTTACACGTTTATAACAATTTATAATCTTGGGGGTATATTGATAGACCAATTTTTCCCATGATTTGAGTCACTTTCCACTTTTGAATGCAAAATGGTTACCGGCCAATGTTACTAAGGGGATATTCCCGTTGCAGTCTCTATTCATAGCCAATATTGGATAACTTTGAATCAAATGCCATGCAATATATATATAATTTAACAGAACTGTTAAAAAAGAACATTTTACCTACGCAGATAAATTTTTTAACAAAAAATCACACTGAGAAAAATTGTACCAATTTTTTTTTGTGATAAAAACCGTCAGAAATAAGTTAAGCGGTATCGGAAACTTTTAGTGTTTCGGGTGGAGTGAGGATATAGATCCAGGCAGCCATTCGTTCCGCTTTTGTCGTCTCTTGGGCCACGACAACTAGAGGCGCACCGTCACGAGGAGGTAAAATAGTAAGTAAATTGTGGTTCTTATTAACCATGCATTCAGCTACTTCAACCCTTTCTGGATAATATATTATTGTATAATAAAGAGCTGTGTAACCGAGTTTGTCTTGTATTTCTAAGTCTTCCTTTGCCATTAACTTCACCAACCCTTGTATAACGCGCACGCTGCAACTCTTCTCGATTGCGTAGTGAAGAGCTGTACCGCCATCCAATGGAAATCTATAACTTCCTGCCTGGGGATGATGGCGAAGAAACTTGATCGCCTTATCCCAATCATTAGACTTCACATATTCGGGGAAAGTTTCTGCGTGCAATGTTTGTAAATTTCTAAATTTCCCATACTTGCACAAAAATAATTGACACAATTTGAAAACAAATGGGAAATTCTAATGGAAATATACCAAATAATCACACACGGGAAAATATAATAAAACTTAATATACAATATATATATATATATAATTAAGGGAGACTCCACTCCTAAATTCCTAATTAAAATCATAGAGGTTTATCGGTGATATTAGTGGTTAGTTATACTAGACCTACAAATTTATCATTAATCACTATTAAGTAGAATTATATACATATATTAATTTGTGAGGATACCTCCAAGGTGCCCATCTCCCAATGCCGGCTCTCGCGTAGTATCATGATCAGTCGGAGTTAGATACGCTTCATCATCTGAAAATGAAAATTTTGATGTTAAGATGACAGATATCATTCAGTTCTTAATTTTCTTTTTTACTTTTCCTGCATACAAATGCCTATTCGTGTGAGACTAATAATTACATTTTTCAAACCAAGTATAAAATCTCCTCGCCAACTGTCGCAAACTATCAAAGCCAGCGAAGCCTGCATGAACTGTCGGAGTTGAATGCGCTTGATGAGGGTCTGAAAATGAAAATTATGAATTTCAGATGACAGATCTTATCAGTCCTGCATGCCATGTTTGTTAATTGCTGAATTTCCCATACTTGCGTGAAATAATTGATACAATTTGAAAAAAAATGAGAAATTTAATTGAAAATATACCAAAATAATCCTACATCGGAAAATATAATGAAAATTAATATACAATATATATGAGAATCCACCCTTAATAAATATCACAGAGAGACATCAATGATTAGTGGTCAGCAATAATGGAGCTAAAAGTTTATCATCATGTAATTACCTATTAAATATAATGGGTGCATTTTTGCTCACTCGCACTAATTATAGGGTATGCTCATCACCCCTTCCAGTGCTTGCCATGTGTAATCCACACTAACTCTAGTTAAGCCTTTTTTTTTTTTTTTTGCTTTAATTTATAGGAGAGAGAATCCTAATTTTACTCATTTACTTTCATATATGTCCTTTCTTTCTAAATATTTTGTTAAAACTTAAAACTCCCATTTTTGAATACAAACAGACTCAACTAATTCCAATTTAAAAAACATAAACATAAACTTAAAACCCCAATGTCGATTACACCTTCGTAGTCGTTGTTTTCTGTAAACTTTCATGAATAGGATCTGTAACTAGGAGTTTTTATCATAAATAGGATCTGTAACTAGTTGGAGATTATGGTAATCAAAATATGTGTAAATTTTTTTTTTTATGGTAATTAAAATATGCGAGCTTGATCTTCCATTTGCAAATATGATTCTAACCTTATATGGATATACGAATCACATCAAATCACTTCGTCAATATCCAACAAAAACTAGTTTCAGTGACAAAACTAATAAGACAAATGATGTCATTCAAAATACAATTGTTTTAGATGAAACTCGTCAAAATAAAATTGTACAAAAAGCTAGTCCAAAAAATACAATTGTTTGAGATGAAACTCATCAATATCCAACAAAATACAATTGTTTGAGATGAAACTCGTCAAAATAAAATTGTACAAAAAGCTAGTCCAAAAAATACAATTGTTTGAGATGAAACTCATCAATATCCAACAAAATACAATTGTTTGAGATGAAACTCATCAAAATAAAATTGTACAAAGCTAGCAGGATGAATATTCTCCACTTCAAAGGATGTCGTTCCAAAAATTTTCTGTAAATTCTATAACAACTTGGATCTAAGATGTTGGTGGATTTGAAAAATTCAGTTCAAGAGTGGTTCCCAGAGGCATTGGTTGAATGTTTGATGTTGATGGATTTGAAAAATTTAGTTGAGGAGTGGTTCCCAGAGATAGTGGTTGAATGTTTTCCTGCAAATTAATAAAAAGAAAAAAAATTACTTATGAAACTACAGAACAAAAATATAGTACACTATATATATAGTACATTCAGTGAAGATACAAACCCGAGGATTCATAAATGAGTAATTGGACATCATGGGACTTATAGCTTGAAATCCAGGTTGGTGATTTTGAATCCCTTGAACTGGCTGCTTTTGAATCCCTTGAACACAAGGAACAATTGGAAATCTATAAGGAAAATGTGTGACTTGACTTACGGGTGCCATATTGAATTGGTTTTGACTTGGCATTCCAATATGTCCCTAGATACCAATTCCAATTGATCCATCAGAAATAGATTAAAACAATGCTAATGAACAAAAATTTAAATAAATAAAACATCCATGACAAAAAATTGCTAAACTTTAAACTTGAGTTTGTGCATATCTTGTTGATGGTCCGTTCATCTCATATGCATTTGAATTGGATTCTTTAAAAGCTATTAAACAGTTAAAATAATAATTACATTGACAAATGCAAATTGTGAATCAAATAGTAAATAAAAACAAGTCAAATATGTGCTAACCTTTTCTCTTGTATGGACCTTTCTTTTTAGGTTGATTAGATTACAAAGCACTCTTCATTCTACCTTTGCCCTGATATTTGGACTTCTGAACCTTTGAATCTTGGATCTTAAGATTTTTCTCAGCTTTAGTCACATGCTTAACATAATTTACATCATTTGTTCCCTCATCTTGTTCTCCAAAATTGGCATGCTTTTCCAAATTTTTCTCCAACTTTAACAATTCCGAATTCAAAAAACTACATTTTTGGCTATTTTTTGCACTTTTGTTATGATTCGTTGTGCTATATTAGATAGCTCGCTATACTGAACCAAGGAAGATAAGTCTAAATTACTCACAGCCAGTTCGCCATAAGAATCAAATCCAATACTACATTTAGCATCCTTGCTCCATCTTTTCAAATAATAATTGGATGGTATACTTGACAAATCTAAATCATAGTATAACTTTAGAGCATGTGCACAAAGAATCCCCTCAAACTCAAACTTTTTGCAATTGCACAATACTGTTTGATTTGCAAGGTCATACATAAGTGTTCTATTAATTCCTCGTTTTCCTGAGTTCATTACTATGTATGTACGTGTTAATCCATCATCACTTTCTAATTTTAGTGGCCTCAAATTTAAAACTTTCTTAACCTTGTCTTGGAAACAATAAAAAATCTTACTTGTATACTGCTTTGTTGTTTCAATCTCCACATTCCAATCAAAATACAAACTACGCCATTTCTGTTTAGTTGCATCTTCTACTTGCCTTTCCTTTTCTTTTTTATTCATTACTGCTTTATCATATTGGACGACGACCTCTTGCAGGAGGAGGTTTCGAGCAAAATACTTTTTCAAAAACTTGTTCATGCTCTCAATTCTTTGTGTTGTTGTCATACCTAAGAAAAAAAAATGGAAATTGATCACAACATAGTGGAAAAAGAACCTTGTGAATAATATGTAAAAATAATATAATAGGAATTGGTCAAGAATAATACCTGCACAAAAGTGGTCTCGACCATAAACTTGTGCCCATTTCTCACATAATAGATATATCCCTTCTAGCCAATCTTTACCTCTCAATTCATAATCATCAAGTAACTTATTCCAACTTGTTTCAAATTCTTCAACAGTCTATAGATCATACATGCATCTTTGAAATCCTGTGTAAATGATTTAAACTCACTGAAAACATGATTCAAGTTCCATGCAGCATTCTGATATATGTGCCACAAACAAAGTCGGCGGTGGCAATTAGGAAATACTTCACTAATAGCAGCAGTGATTGATTGGGATTGATCTGTAAATATGGTTCCTGGTGCTTTTCCATCTATGGCTTGTAAAAAGGCCTTGAACAACCACTCACATGCATCTGTTGTCTCTCCATCTAGCAAACCACATCCGAAAAGTATGGTTTGATCATGATTATTGATACCAACTACTGGGGCACACACCATATTATATCTATTCGTTTTGAATGTCGTATCAAAACACACAACATCACCAAATATAGTATAATCGCGCGTCGAATTTCTATCACAGAAAAAACAACCACTTATTTCATTCTCCTCGTTTGTTTGAAGAGAATAGAAAAATGACTTGTCTTCAGTTTGCTTTTTCTTAAATAATTCAAGCAAACATTCTGAGTCGCCCTTCTTAAGAACCTCGATGTGCTTCCTCATTATCAAATTGTTACAATCAGACTGAATAAAATTTAGTTTTTGAGACCTTCCTGCTTCTATGGTAAAGTATGAGAAGATTTGAGATGGCTGTAGTCCTGCAGAATGCATTTGTTGATCTATCAATTTTTCTTGAGAAGACTCTATTAATCGTTGTGACCTCAATAAATGGGAACTTGATGCCGGAACAAGAACATGACTATGTTCAGCAACAAAATTTGTCACAACAAACTTCCTTTCTAAATTAAGTTTGATTTCAAGCATTGCCTTGTAGCCACATCTTGTTTCTTCTCTTTTCTTCTTTGGAGTTCTTTTATTTTTATTTTTATAAAAACCTTCACAAGAACAACAAAATTGTTTTTTCTTTAGCACACCTGACTTGTCCTTATTCTCTATGTTCTTCCTCACGCTAAATCCAACCCTTCTACCATACGCAATGTAGTAATTATATGCATCATCCTCATTATCAAAAGTCATCCCCAGTGAAATATCAACATTTTTGCTTGTAAATTCTCCTTTTTCTTCATTTTGATCCAAGACTTCTAAGGTTTCGGAATCTAAATCTAAGTGTATACCATCAACTGATTCTTTGGCATCACTGGAAGATGGAGTATGAAACTCATCATCTTGGTGTTCCATTTGCATAAGTATCAAATTACTTAATATTGAATTAAATTGACACCCTATAATAATCCTAAAAAGCATATATTGACACCCTATAATAATTATAGAAAGCATATATTTTGACACCCTATAATAATCCTAAGAAAAGCATATATATTGACATCCTATAATAATCCTAAAAGGCAATTAAATGGGAGTTGAATACCTTTTTCTAGTTGGAGAAAAATGGCAGATGGAAAACCCAGAAGATGCGTGCGTAGGGTTGAGTTCGTTTGTATTTAAAAAGGGGACTTTTAAGTTTTAATAAAATATTTAAAAAGAAAGGATATATATGGAAGTAAATGAGTAAAAGTAGGATTCTCTCTCCTATTAATTAAAGCAAAAAAAAAAAAAAAAAAAAAAACTTAATTAGAGTTAGTGTGGATTACACATGGCAAGCATTGGAATGGGTGATGAGCATACCCTATAGTTAGTATGGGTGAGCAAAAATGCACCCAAATATAATTATATACATAGGGATGGCAACGATTCGGTTTTGTGATGAAAATGCAATATCAATCACCATAACCACAAAAATTAATCACATCCATAACCACAAGTTAACTATCAGGGATTATTCATAACCATATTCACCGAGTAACGGATTCTCTATCGGTTGACGGTTATATCCATCTTCGTCAATACCAAAAATATATTCATTCAGTTGACGCATTATAATATAATAAGTATTAATTTTGTCAATAAACATTTATGCTTTTTGCAGCTGTTCATGATAAGCCAAATATGATAAATTGGTCCATGAAAAAAGAAAATGATGACAAAAGCAAATACAACAACCACTAAAGAAGAATGAGAAAACAAATTGTCAAATAATTATAAAATTTGCGACATACAAAATTAGAACATTGAATTTAAAAATTAGAGCATTGAATTTAAAACATTGATGACGTTGGCTGATCTTTGATCTCTCCTATAAGCATCATTGAATTCTCATTGGTTTTTATTCCAAACTTTTGAACTTTCTCACAAAATGCAACTTTTGTAATTCTCAAGGCTGAATATACATATATTATACAATTATATTATATATAATATTATTATTCGGGTCACATTCTGTGACGGATACGGATCGAAGACCCCTTTAACCATATATGAAATCATAACCGAATAATTTTTCCCCATATCCCAAACATATCTGAATTTTTATCCCCAAATCCGTGTCATTTGAACAACACAGTTATCGGGTTTAACGGTTTGAATTGTCATTCCTATATATACAAGTATTAATTTGTGAGGATACCTCCAAGGCGCCCATCTTCCATTGCCGACTCTGGTGTAACATCATTCCTATATATACAAGTATTAATTTGTGAGGTAGAGGTTTTGAGAGATGGACGGAGTAAAAAAATAAAAAATAGAAAAAAGATAAAAAAAGATAATTTTTTATTAATTTTTTTAAAGGTTATCACAAATTAAATTTTAATACCACTTGTCCGGACAATTTATTTTATAGGATGGATATAAACTTGGGCAATTAATATTCACTTATCTTCCCATTTTCACATTTTTACTTTTACTCATGCAACGTATATTACACTAGCATGTAAAACTAAAATTTAATTACTTTTTAGTTGACAAACTAAAATTTTAATTACATTAAAAAAGGAATAAAAATAGTGAAATTTTAAAGTAATTAGTTAGAATCCCCTACATTATTTGCAAGCTGGAAAAGCAACAACAAAAAGCCCAAGGTAAAGTCAAAACTCAAGGTCCAAAGAAGAGGATATTCTTAAGCACTAAAGCCGACCGCTGACTAACTCAGCCTAACTAGGTTATGTAAAGTGTTTCTCAACTACTAGAGGCACGTGAGCAATCTGACAACTTTATACTATAACGTGAGGTTTTAGGATCGGCATACATCAATCAGGCCACATGACGACTCGCACGTAGGAGCAGAGACTTAGGGTAGGGCATAAAAGTGGTCGGGACATTGCTCGGATAGACATGGCTGGATAACCAAAGCTGAGCAAGCTACTTGGCACGCATCACTTTGAAAAGGCGTGCCATTTCAACTGAGCACTTGTCACCTCACTGCCGAATACCCAGTTGATAGGTAACGAGGTTTTAGTAAGCTAGTCTCCATAGGTAGAGCATTAAATGTCTGATTGAAGGAACCCAAGGCTTCTGGTTCATTAAGGGCCTATATAAAGGGGTGAGATCCTCTTGTGAAGGGGCTAGACGACTGAGAATTTAAAGAGTTAATGTAATTAGCTAAACGCTATTTGTAGTCTGGAAATCAATACAATAAGAGTAACAAGATAGATGTAGCCCAGTGTTGAGGGATGAACCATTTAAATCTTGAAGCCCATTTCATTTTAGTCCATATCCTAAATATTGTTTAATTTATTAGCCTGCAAGTTTTGAGCGTTAACATGACCAATTGTCAACTCAACACTTTTCTATTTATTTAATATATATCCACTTAAGCCGCTAACAACCAATTTTCTACAATCTTGACATTTTAAATTCGTGGTTTATTTTGTTAAAAATGTTAATTTAACTAATTGCTCATTATCACTTAAAAAAAAGAGAGAATTTTTTATTTCTATTATTATATTTAATTAATCTCTTCCTTAAATTTTAAAAAGTCAATAATACTTTCATAAGAAAACTTCATTAATTTGTTAAATTTACGTATTGTTATATAGAAAAATGTATTTAAAACTTATGATACATTTGAAAATAAACGTACCGACTTTACATTGATTCTAAATATACCAAGAAACAAAATGTATTAAAAATTCAAATGTACCATAAAACTTAATGTCAATGAACAATATTCTGCTATAGTATTCCAACCTTATCACTGGTCCATGCTCTACTTGTCTTTCATGTTAAGTGTTATGTCGATAGGAAAACTTCTTGATATCTTACGTTTCTCTGCTCACGTCTACCTCCCATATTGTTATTTTCAAGACCTTAAAACTCATAAGATAACTAGTCGTTGTGAAAGAATTGGGGTTTTCTATATTTTGACTATAGAGGATATAGTTCTTTCAGGTTCAAGTAATCATCAAATTCTAAAAGTGTAAAATAAATAATAATAAATTTCGGAACAAAATATCATACAAACAAACATTGTTATACTTTTCCGTTTTTGGCTTGCTTCAATGAATTCATTTTATTGACCAAAACATAGAGCCTATGTAGAGAGTTTATTTTAGTAACTAACTCAAAAAACAAATCCACCTAAAAAGAAAACTCAAAAACATAAATTGAAGCTCGAATTTTCTTTCAGAATTGAAAGCGAATACATTATTGTCAAATAGAAAGCACATTGGCTTCTCTTTACAAGTTTCTTAAAAAGTAGCAAATCCAAACCTAACTAAAGATAACATAGGAATTCAAAACAAATTTTTCTGCTTCCTATCAAATATTCCAGGTCCAAAAGTATTAATGAATAACTCAACAAACAATGGAAATTGCATCAATATGAACGAGGTAACTGGAACACTGGCAAGCAAAATGCTTGGAATAACAATCGATGATTTCCCCTCAAGCATAATGTAAAGACCTGAAGAAAAGACGATCATCATGGTGGCAATGGATAAAAAGAGGGTGAAAAGGCCTATTATCATTTTTGTGGGCAAGGATTTGTAGAAATCATCTTCAGAATAACGTGACGTGAGAATGCCCAAAAACATGATAACCGAAGTTGTTGAAGAAAAGAGTGAGATTGCATCTGAAACTATAAAAGTGGTGAGTACACTATTAGTTAAGAATGTACGACGACCTGCCTTTTCATCATTTTCACCAGGAACTATGAATGCTGCAGCAAACATTATGGTGACAATAAGAGCACCTACAACTGTACAAGAAGTTGCTGTTTCCTTCATTGACTTTTCCGCCTCTTTCCCCAATTCTTTGTGATTCTCTGTAAATACTTTTCGTGGTGTCTTCTTGTCTTTGTTTACAGATTCACAATCCTTAGGATGTACAATGCTCTCCACCTCCTGCATTTTTTGGCAACAAAATTATTCATGGATGAGACTCTTAAATATTGTCTCTTCATATAAATCCTTGAACTTTTGTCGTTTGAGACACCACGTAACCCAAAATCATTAGTTAAGCATGTAGAATGATAATATATTACGTAGTTAAACCATAATAATTTTTTCCTTTTAGTTTCATTTTTTTTTTCAATTATGCTTGTGCATGTTGACAAACTTTTTATTTTTTATTTTAAAGAGAATAATTTTAGTATTCTCTTTTTATTTTGAAATTGAATAAATATAAAGTAACAAAAATATGTGGAGTGGGAGAAAATGAGAGTAGAATAATAGCCAGAAAAATTATATAAACAACATATAGGTAAAATATTTTATAATTATAAGCTATATAGATAGGTAGATAAATAGTCACCTTAAACCATTGTAGTTCTCTCTGCATTTGCAAAGCTGCACCTTGAATGTGATTAATTTGTGACAATGGGGTAATACTTGCTACCGTATGTAGCAAATTATTGCCAAATTGATCTCTCGTCCTCACTCTTGCTCGTATTTCATCGGCATGATCGAGGCCAGGTATATTTTCCTTTTTGCGCAACTGATTGGAGACATGTATTAGATTATAAACTTTGTGGTGACGACATTCAGCGGCAATTTGCAACAGGTTCTGGCCCTTTTTGTTCGTAACTAAATTTACAGGATATGAGGAATTTCTAAGAAAATGAGTAATATACTCCATATGCCCTCGTTCTGCTGCTACACACAATGCTGTGTTCAATTTCATTCGTTGATATTTACTCATATCTCTTTCACTCGCTTTAAACATGAGAGGTAAAAATTGCGCAACCCACTCATGCACCAATTTCATCTGATATATACGATTGATTCCTACATTAAAAACAAATACAAATTTACAATCATTTAAAAATAATATTCACTATTAATAAAACAATCATAGAAAAATCAATTAACAATATGATTGTGTATGTGGCCTACCCAAAAGTGTTTGGAGATTTGACACTAGTCTTGGGAATAAACCCATTGCCATTCCTGCATTGCAATCCAAATTTGATGACAAACAAATAAATAAATAAATAAATACACACACACACACACCATAAATGGGCCATTCTTCGTACCATGTTGGTTTTTGTCAAACTCACGCATGTGTATTACTTAGCTTTTTTATGTTTTCTTTACAAAATTATTACTGTTCTCACATTTTTTATATTACAAATTAAAATGAGACACATTTATATCAATGGGCTTACCTTTATTAAAGAAATAGTACCAGTAGCCGAGCCAGGTTTTTAATGTATCGGCCGATATGGAAACCAAAGGGAAAAAAACTCTCAACTTTTTAACCTTGTAGAAAAAATCATAAACTTGTATTTATGGAACAACAAAATTCATATTCTATATTATAAAAAAAAAAAACATATTTTATGCACAAAACATATAACTCATTGTTAAAGAAACTTCAAAATTTAATAACTTTTTGAACAATGTAAAGGCAAAATATTATAAAAATATAATTTCAACTTACCAGTAACTAATTCAAAATTCTGAGGCAAGTAATAATTAGAAAACGATTTTTTCTTTGGTTTTCCTGTGCTGTAGTGCGAACTTCTTGTTGAACTTTAGTACTTTACCATTAGCTGAAGGATATACATTTATTTTTATTTTTATTATGTTCCTCGTTTCCTGCCTTTTTAACCTTTATAATCATATTGGTTAGGTCACTTAATACTATGGTTTGTTGGTAATTCTCTTCATTCACTTGTAAGTGAAATGCATTAGGTTTGATTGTCATCATTAACCAATTCGAACCAAATTATTATGGCTAATCCATTATGAGGTTTAGTCCACAATATCTCCAAAAGAAGCTATAAAACCACTAAGGAGGTTATTTAATTGAGATTTTGTGGGATTTTAATTCTTTTAATGAATCTAGGGGCATTCAATCAAGATTTTAAGTGATTCTCTAAAATTCAAATTGTATTCAATCAAAATTTTAAGTAGTTTATTAAAATCATTAGAAATCTGAGTGTATTCAATTATAATTGTGTATAGCATTTCAGGTGTATTCAATTAGAAATTGATTTTAAAGAAGTGTATAGCATTTCATATGTATTCAATTATAAATTAATTTTAAAGAATTTGAAAAAATTTAAGGAATTCGAGAAAATAGAAGAGATTTCATAGCGTATTTTAAGCATCTACAAATCTCTTATCCACCTGTATCCTCTCTCTCCCCTTCCTCTCTTTCACACTGCAATAACAGCCCATAAAAGACAAGCCCTTATCTATTTCGGTTTTAAGATTCACTATAATCTGCCCATTTTGTTTCTGTTTTGTGTTTTAAGTATTTTGTTAAGGGGTGTATTCAATTGAGAATTTGAAAGGTTTTAATGGTTTTATCATTTCCCTCAAAACCTCATTGGAAAAGATGAGAATTGTGGATGCATAAAATATAATACGAATCTCCAATTCTCTCTAATTCCTCAACTTTTTCAAATTCTTTAAAATCAATTTCTAATTGAATACACTTGGAATGTTATAATTTTTTTTTCAAATTTTAATTGAATACACCCAGATTTCTAAGGATTTTAATAAACTATCTCAAAATCCTGATTGAATACACTTTGAATTTCAGATAATCCCTTAAAATCCTGATTGAATACATCTAGATTCATTAAAAGAATTAAAATCCATTAAAATCTCAATTGAATACACTTTCCTAAATCAACGTGACTATATTTAATATAAAATAAAGATGTTCTTATATTCTTGTAGTAGCATTATGGAACAAATTTATGATGGCATTAACAAAAACCAAATTGGATTGCAGACATGTAAATTACCTGCGAAAATGGGATGCCCTCTATTCTCCTTTTGGTCTGAGAGATGCCCTTGATCACTTTGGCCACTTTTATGTTTTTCAACATTTATATGACTATCCTTGTTGATTGGAGGAAGACGTTTTATACGTATAACTATCAAGATAAAGAGCACAAGCTCAGTCCTTAATCAAAAATACTCTTCTGAAGTTTTTTTTTTTTTTTTTTTCTCTTAAGTTATATTTCTCATGTTAATTGTTATCAAATCATTGTTTTGTACCATACACAGAAATGACTAAATGTCTTTTACGAGTATCATTAATGAGAGGAAGAAGTTTTGTGTTAAATCATTTTTATGCCCATTATTTTACTTTTCTAATATCTTTATTGAATTGTGAATAAAGGATTAAATTGTTCACTCAAAAGGTCTTTTGGTTAACCAAGAAAGTTTTGTTAATAAATAACTAATATATGCTCATACAGAAAGTGTGTATGAATTTTTTTTAGTTTAGTTTTTAAAATGGAAGAGAGAGAGAGAGAGAGAGAGAGAGAGAGAGAGAGAGAGAGAGAGAGAGAGAGAGAGAGTGGGGAATGGAGAGAGGTTTATTTTTTTATTTTTTAAAATTAGAGAGGTTAAAAGTACATGTAAGTGAAGCTTAAACAAAAAAAAAAGTAAAATTTTGTTTTGTAAAATTATGTTACTGTCCTTTACTATTTTGTTAGAATAGAAGACTAAATAATCTTTGCACCATCTTTCAGTTGATAAAGTGGATTCTATTAATATATAGTTTAGATATAAGTATGATAGATTAATAAAAAATATATATATATACACACATATACACACGATACAAGTAGATAAACACCAACGAATGCCACAAAATTAAGAAGACTACCATATGATTTTTAAGAAGAAAAAAAAAATGTAAATACTGCCATTCCCTGCCGTGCCCCCTTTCAGTTTAACAACATGAAGTTTGAACCCAGCAAGCCCCACACGAGATTTCAAACTAGCAATGGTGTTGAAGAAGAAAGATGAACATAAAATAAAAAACAAACGATACAGACCAACACAAAATCAAAGTTTGAAGGAGCAAATGTACTAACCATAATAGATCAATTTTTTCCATAAATTGAGCTGGCTTCCACTGAAGAATGCAAAACGGTTATTGGCCAATGTTACTAAAGGGATATTCATGTTGCGGTCTATAGCCATTGCCAACTTTGGGTAACGTTGAATCAAATCCCACGCAATATCTATATATAATACAAATGTAAAAAAGGAACATTGTTAGTATACAGACAACATATTAATAAATAAAAAATTCTTACACGGGGAAAAATCTACCAAATCTGTTGTGATAGAAACCGTCAGAAATAAGTTGAGCAGCATCGGAAACTTTTAGCGTTTGGTGTGGAGTGAGGGAATAGAAATAGCGAGCCAATGCTCCCCCTTTCGTCCTCTCTTGGGCCACGACAACAAGAGGCCCCTCGACCCAACGAGGTAAAATGGTAAGTAAATTATTGTTCTTTTTAACCATGCATTCAGCTGCTTGAACCCTGTCTGGACAATAATTTATTATACAATAAAGTGCAGTGTAACCGAAATCGTCTGTTATTTCCAAGTCTTCCGTTGCCGTTAAATCCACCAACTGTTGTATAATGTGCACGCTGCAGCTCATGAAATTTTTGCTTGCATAGTGAAGAGCTGTACCATGCCGCACAAATGGAAGTCTGGCTTTTCCTTCCTGGGGATATTGGCGAAGAATCTTGATCGCATTATCCCAATCATTATGCTTGACATAGTTGGCGAAAGTTTTATGGATATCGTTGGCATTGCTCTCATGATCATGTCCTGCATGTTAGTGGTTAGCTACTGGACCTAAAAGTTTATCATCATTTCATTACTATTAAATAGAATTATATACAAGTATTAATTTGTGAGGATACATCATACCTCCAGTGTGGCCTTCTTCCATTGCCGACTGTGGCGTAGCATCATCATCATGAGTCTGAGTTGGATACGCTTCAAGAACTGACCTCGTCTCTGAAAATGAAAACTTTGATGTTAAGATACGTCTTAATCAACACATCAAATGAGACTAATAACACGGTACAACTATACAAACACTGCCGTATGTTTATCAGCTTTTCTTTTTTCCTTCAACTTTTCATGTATATACGTACCTTTTTCATCTGGTGGTTCATCTGGCTTCAATGTTGTTAACAAAGTATACCAAGCTTCACTGGCCGTGGTTTTGTCCTTGATAATTTGATAAGTATCACCCCTGCAAGAACTCTGGATTGCATATAAGGCCTTGGCATTCTTCTTCCCCCAAGCCTTATCATCAATTTTACCGTCTTCTCCTATAGGAGATTCATAGGTGCCATCGACAACGTCCCAAAGATCTTCGGCCAACAAGTAGATATGAATCCGAGAACTCCAATCATCATAGTTCTCACGGTCAAGAACTACAGGAACAACTGTAGCTGTCATGTTCACCCTGCCCATTTATTCAACCAGATTTTATGTTAGTCGAACATATGTTAAAAAAAAAAAAAAAAAAAATAGAGAAGTCAAAGTTGTCTAACACCACTTGAGGAGGACTAGTGCCGTAATGGAAATCAAGCACCCCCTTGTGGCCCTCCTCATCCAAATTCGAGGCTCCCTTTTCCCCTCAAGACTCCACTTAAATATTGACAAAAAATCGATACTACCCTATATAAATGCTAAGAACAAAAGGAGAAATCATAGTATGTGTGTTTATATTTCGAAAACAAGGGAAGCAACAAGATCAAAGAACGAAAACAAACCAAAGTCCCGATTTGACGAGGAATAACCTGTAATCCAAAATATACACAAATTTGAAAATGTAAGTCTCCAAAATGGTTACAAGATTTGGAGGATGAAAAGGGAAAATGAAATCAAATGAGATAAGTGGAGAGAAGTTTATAGAAATCAAAAGAATCTCATTCTGACATGGGATGAAAATTTTGAACAACTAACAAGACAAGTAAGAATCTCATTCACAAAAGAAAAAGACCAAAAGAAAGTATAAAGCCGGGTAAGGCATCAATGTTACGCATCATTCAATGTTACGGGTGTTATAGTCATTAGTTTTGATTTCCACAAGTATTTAAATATTTGATTCTTAATCTAGCCTTTCATTTTATTTATCATTCATTTTCTTTATCTTTCTTTTTTTGGTCTCCTCAGACTCTTATCTTTTGGTTTTCTTGTAGATTCTTTTTCACAAGAAACAACAGGTTGATATTCATTAAACATTCCAAACAAATACTAAGGTGCCAATTGGGTATAATACTCCAATAACCAAGAAATTGATTTTGGAGTGAGATTGCTCAAATGAGAAATTTATATTCCAGGTGAAATTAGTGGTAGATATGCGAAAGATGTGACATGCATATACGTACAGCCTTCTTGGACACATTTGATAAGTGGAGCCTTCTTTGCTCCTCCCATCATGCGTACGGCCGGTTTGATTTTCTTCTTTTGAGTAATAGCATTTCTAATGGGGTAGGCGATTGAATAGGGGTGAGTCATGTAGGTCAAAATTAACTTCAATGGTATAGGCAATTAATGCCCACTCCTCAAAAGTAGGCCAAACTGAAAATCTTTACTAAAAAGCAAAAGCAGAGCTTGCTATTTAGAATTTACTAATTTAGATCATAAAACGCATTCGCAACAAATAAAACGACCATGACAATCAAAAAGTGAAAGAAGTTGAATGCAGCAAAAGCTAAAGCAAAGTGCGCAGGGTTAATTATATCTAAAGTAACTCAGTAGATTCTAAAGCACATACATCCCAATACATCCCTTCAAGCAAAGTGTGCAGGAACATCGACCGGAAGATTCTAAAGCACATGCATGCCTTCAAACTGAAGAATCGCACCACGTTCAACATCATCATCAATGTTATATCAGTTTCTATAGTCGCTTGTTTGTCAATTGTTGATTTTACAAAGTGAATGTCTGCCGAAAAGCACAAGGAAAAGCACCCAAATGAATCGTGTTTTCTTCAAATCCTTTTGGAAGGGCAGCTCATCGGCTCCACCAATGCTCAAACAAAACCTGGACACCAAGGAAAGAACCCAAATGAATGAATTCACAGGTCCTACGACTCAGGAAACAAAAAAAAAAAAGACAGAACATCGACTAGAAGATTGTAAAGCACATACATCCCTTCAAACTCAAGAATCGCACCACGTTCAACATCATCATCATCAATGCTATATCAGTTTGTGAGAGAGAGAGAGAGAGAGAGAGAGAGAGAGAGAGAGAGAGAGAGAGAGAATTTGTAAGTGTCGATTTGGCAATGTCTTTATGTGTAGAGAGGTACGAGTGCTATATCTGTTTCCAACTAGAGCAAAGTGTGGGCATATGCTAGTGAAAATCGAAAGAACGTAAAAACAAACCAAAACTGAAAATCTTAAATAGAAAGCAAAAACCAAAGCCTGCTATTTAGAATTCAGATCATAAAATGCATTTGCAACAAATAAAATGATCACGGCAATCAAAAAGTGAACAGAGTCCAAAGCAGCAACACTAAAGGGAAGTGCGCAGGTTTAGTCATCTCTTAAGGAACTCAGCAACCTGTTATAGCGAATAACGCCACAAAAGCAAATCCATTTGAAGGGCAGCTAATCGGCTCCAGCAATTCCCAAACAAAAACTGGATAAGAACCAAGGAAAGAACCCAAATGAATGACTCCCACATGAAAACAAAAAGGAAAACAACGTGGGCTAGAAGATTCTAAAACACATACATCCTTTTAAACTGAAATGTCGCACCACGACCGCATCTCTTGCACAGCTTCGTAAGGGCAGAGAAAATATTGAACATGCGAGCATATGCACATAATGTCCCTTCGCGCCAGGGAAATTGACAAACAAAAAAAGAAGAAAACAGATCAGAAGCGGGACTGAAAATAGTGCAGAGCGAGACAAAGCAAATTCCTAACTACTCATACAATAAAATCCAACATGTATCAGATTATTCCTTGTGAAAAATAAAATGAATCCTAAATATCAATCATAAAGTAAGTTGAATATTGAAGATCAGCAGGATATAAATAGACATGTGGAAAGACAAAATGTTCTATTCCTTAGAACAATTCAAAAATAAAACTCATTAGGTGACTGAGAAACAATAAACCAAGAACTGAGAGTCAGATTAAGTTCAGCAAAAGCAGATAAAATTATTGAGATTACATATCGACAAGAAGTACAACCACCTTTTGAACAAGTTCATGTCTAGTGGAATCAGTGCTCAACAATGTGAATTTTTTTTTTGTTTCAAATTGTGCACATTTGCTTTAAATGATTTTTTTTTTTTTTTGGGCAGTATTTTGGATATGATAGCTTAATGGTATAATGATTTTGTTGTAATGAATATTTTTCAATTGCAAAGTTTCAAGCCAATACATTGATGTCTTGCAAGGGAAATGACTCTACAAAAATATAACCTTTATTTTGGTTGATACAATGATTTTGTTGCTCGGAAATTTTCTATTGATTGAATAATTTATTGTTAAAAATGCCCAAAATTTATGAGTTTGAATTAGAGTTTCAAAAATAAAATTGAGAATTGTTTAGTATGTAGGCTAGAAGTAAAAAAATGTGCAAAAAATGAAATGTCTAAAATACCCTTAAATTTAACAGTCCATTAACGAAAATTGGTAAAGTGAGATAAAAGAGTTGAAACTGTTGGTTTTAGGGGGCAAAGTGAGACAAAACCGGTTTCAAGGGGTAAACTGAGACTCAATAGTAGTTTAAGAGGGCATTTTGACTAATAAGCCTTTAAGCTACTAACATGTGAATCGTCTTTTCAAAGTTAACATTTTTGGATGTACATGTAATTTTCAAAAATATGATGTCTTTGATCTTGGTTCTCTTATGCGATAAATCAGGATGTCCTCCGGTATTTTAATTGTTATGGCTCGACAGTGGCTTCTATTGCCCTCCTTTTGTATGCATGTATGGCTTAGTTTTGTTAGTCTTTACTTGCTGGGTTATGTTTTTCCCTGCTTGAGATAACATTGTAGTACATTTCCCCATTTGGGGTAGCTTCAATGAATTCATTTTATTGACAAAAAAAATAGAGCCTATACAGAACTTGTCTTAGTAACTAACTCAAAAAAAAAAAAAAGAAGAGAAATTCACCAAAAAAGAAAACTCAAAAATATAAATTGAAGTTGAAATTTTCTTTTAGGATCAAAAGCGCATACATAATTGTCAAATAAAAAGCGCATATATAATTGTCAAAAAGAAAGCGTATACATAATTGGCCAAATAGAGAACACATAAATTGGCTTCTCTTTACAAGTTTATTCAATAGTAGCAAATCCAAACCCAACTAAAGATAACATAGGAAACAACTCAAATCAACTTTTTCTTCTTCGTGTCAAATATTCCCCGTCCAAAAGTAGAAATGAATAACTCAACAAACAACGGAAATTGCATCCATATGAACGAGGTAACTGGAACACCTGCAAGCAAAATGCTTGGAATAACAATTGATGATTTCCCATCAAGCATAATGTAAAGGCCACAAGAAAAGACAATCATCATGGTGGCGATAGATAAAAATAGAGTGAAAAGGCCTATTATCATTTTGGTGGGCAAGGATTTAGAAAAATCATTTTCAGAATAACGTGACGTGAGAATGCCCAAAAACATGATAATCGAAGTTGTTGAAGAAAAGAGTGAGATTGCATCTGAAACTATAAATATTGTGAATACCTTATTAGTTAAGAATGTAGGAACATCTTTCTTTTTATCATTTTCACCGGGAACTGTGAATGCTGCAGCAAACATTATGGTGACAATAAGAGCATCAACAACTGTACAAGAAGTTGCTGTTTCCTTCATTGACTTTTCTGCCTCTTTGCCCAATTCTTTGTGATTCTCCGTAAATACTTTATGTTGTGTCATATCATCTTTGTTTACAGATTCACAATCCTTGGGATTTGCAATGCTCTCCACCTCCTGCATTTTTTGCGACAAAGTTATATATGGATTTGACTCTGAAATCTTTATCTCTTCGTATAAATCTTGGAACTTTTGTCGTTTGAGACACCATATAACCCAAAATCAATGGTTAAGCTTGTAGGATTACAGTATAATACGTAGTTAAAAAATAATGTTTTCCTTTTTAATTTCAATTTTCCCGTTATGCTTGTGCATGTTGACAAACTTTTTGTTTTTATTTTTTATTTTTAAAGAGAGTAATTTCTGCATTCTCATTTTTTCTTTGAAATTGAAGAAATAAAGTAACAAAAATATGTGGAGTAGTAGGAGAAAATAAGAGTAAAATTATAGCCACAAATATATATAAACATCGCAGAGGCAAAATATTTTATAAATATAAGTATGTATATATAGATAGATAGAAAATAGTCACCTTGAACCACTGTAGTTCTCTTTGCAAAGCTGCACCTTGAATGTGACCAATTTGTGACATTGGGGTAATACATGCTACCGTATGTAGCAGATTATTGCCAAAGTCATCTGTCAACCCCACTCTTTTCCGTATTTTTTCGAATTGATCGAGGCCAAGTTTATTTCAAATTTTGGGCAACTGATCGAGGAGATATATAAGATTATAAATTTTGTGTTGACGGCATTCAACGGCAATTTGAAACGGGCTTTGGCCTTTTTTGTTCTTAACTCCAAATAAAGGATATGTGTCATTTCCAAGAAAATTAGTAATATACTCTATATGCCCTCGTTCTATTACCACACACACTGTTGCTTCTAATTTCTTTCTTTTATTAAAACTCATACTTTCACTTGTCATACTTTCACTTGCTGCTTTACACATAAGAGGTAGAAGCTGCTTGACCCGCTCATGTATCAATTTCATATGATATATACGATTGATTCCTAAGTTCATTAAAAAGAAAATACAAATCATTTTCAAATAATATTGACTATTAATAAAACAATCATCAAAAATATCAATTAACGATATGAATGTGTCTGTGGCATACCCAAAAGTGTTTGGAGATTCGCCACTAGTCTTCGGAATAAACCAATTCCTGCATTACAAGTCAAATTTGATGACAAAACCATAAATGGGTCATTCTTCTTCCGTGTTGGCATACTCACCTATGTGTATTACTTTGTTTTTTTATGTTTTCTTACAAAAATGCTACTTTTATCACATTTTTATATCACATTTGTACTATCTTGTTAATATAGAATAACAAAATTCATATTCTATATTATGAAAAAAAATCATATTCTGTGCACAAAACATATAATCCATAGTCAATGAAACTTCAAACTTAATTAAATTTTTAACAATGTAAAGGCAAAAAATTATAAAAATATAAATTCATCTTAGAGCATCTCCAAAAGAGACGTGAAATTCAAAACATCAAATTTCAATTTGATGGCTGACTTGACAATTTGACGTATTGTCAATATTTTCATTCCACCCAATATGCCACAATTTGTTGTTTCATTTACGCTTTCTTTAAACAAAAATATTAAAAGTTGGGCTGTTGGTGACTTAAAAATAATAAAATAATACTTAAATATGCTAGTATTTAAATGAAAGCAAGTAAAATGCTTTTGGAATTAGCAAATCCTTAGTTGATGCCAGCATCAATTTTGACATCTCTATGTCTGTGTCAGCTTTGACACCTTAATTAGAGTAAATGATACGTCATTTATTACTGTTATATGTTTATATAACATTTTTAACATCTTATTTGAAGATGATCTTACTAGTTTTATTGGATCCCCAGAGGGACTAAATTCAACTTACCAGTAAATAATTCAAAATTTGAAAGCAAGTAAAAATTAGAAAACGATTTTTTCCTTGGTTTTTCCTGCGCGGCAGTGCGCCAACTTTTTGTTAAATTTTATCATTAGCCGAGAGGGAGAGAGAGAGAGATATTCCTCAGTTCCTACCATTTTTAACCTGTAAGTTCATTTACTACGATCTAGTAGTATTTTTCTTTACTTGTTGTAAGTGAAAGGTCTTAGATTTAATTCTTGCTAAAGGCGAATTCGAACCAAATTATTATGGCAAACTTATTGTGAGTTCTAGCCCACTCTCCTCATGGGTTGTCCTCCAGTGTAAGTGTCTTCCAAAATAAAAACTTTTAGTTTTTGGATCGATTCTAGATTTCGAATTTTAATTCCGTTTTTTGTATGCATGTCAAAGATTGGGAACAAGGAAGGTGGATCAAGGTCGTTTCTAACCTGGGCCGAGAAGAATAGAAAGTTGTGGGGTGAAATCCGAGAAAACCCTTTTATATTTCGGTTTTAAGTTGGTTTTGGACAGATTCACTATAATCTATCCATTTTGTTTATGTTTTGTGTTTTAGGTATTTTGCTAAGTCAATGTGACCAACTTAAATTACATGACTCTAGCTTAACATTCTATCTACTGATATCATGAATACAATCGTTAGGAAATATGGAATGAAGATGTTCGTATATTTTTGTAGTAGCATGCATTATGGAACAATTAACCATAGCATTAACAAAAACCAAATTGGATTGCAGACATGTAAAATACCTGAGGAAATGAGATGTCTTTGATTCTCTTTTTTGTTGGAGAGATACATTTGATCACTATGGTCACTTCAGGAACATTTACACTAGTAGGAAGAGGTTTTATGGGTATACCTATCAAGATAAGGATACAAACTCAATTATTAATTCAATTAAATTTCATGGGACAAAGTGAAAATGCCTTTGAATTTCAGAAGTCGTTGTAGTAAATAAGCCTGTAATGTTTATTATTACACTTACACAATGTCACAAACCAAACATATAACCCTTAAGTTGACAAAAAAAAAAAAAAAAAACATATAACCCTTAAGATTGATTACTTTAACCATTCCAGCGTTGTTAAAGATTCCCAAAGAACTCAATCCTCTAACCAAACATATAACAATGAATTTTCTTAATTAGCTATGGATTGTCACTTAGCAGTACAGTCTAATGGTATTTCTCGTTACTTGTAAGTGAGAGGTGTGAGTTCTTATCCAATTTATTCACCCCGCTTCCAGTGTAAATATATATAAAAAAATATATATGATGATGTGTAATCCTAGACATTGGACCAATTTCAAGTAAGTGTCTAATTCTAATTGTGACTCACAAAATTAGATTTATATCAAGTTTTGTCTTTAGAAGAAAAAAACAAATATAATGAGAAAATAAAAAGCAATAATTTACTAACCATAATAGATCAATTTTTCCCATAATTTGAGTCGGCTTCCACTTTTGAATGCAAAACGGTTATTGGCCAATGCTACTATGGGGATATGCCCGTTGATGTCTGTAGCCATGGCCAATTTTGGGTAACGTTGAATCAAATTCCACGCAATATCTATATATAATAGAAGTGTGAAAAAAGAACATTGTAAGTATACATATAAAATTTATAACAAAGAAAAAATCACACAGGAAAAAATTGTACCAAATCTGCTGTAATAAAAACCGAGAGAAATAAGTTGAGCGGCTTCGACAACTCTTAATGTTTGGGGTGGAGTGAGGGAATAGAGATAGCGAGCCATTCTTTCCCCTTTAGGCTTCCGTTGGGCCACTACAACGTTGTAGGTATCGTAACACCTTATTAATTTGGGGTTTTTTTTTAAGCATGCATTCAGCTACTTCAACCCTTTCTGGATAACAATTTACTAAATGATAAAAAGCTGTGGCACCGTAACAGTCTTGAATTTCCAAGTCTTCCTTTGCCATTAAATCCACCAACTGTTGTATAATGCGCACGCTGCAGCTCATGATATTCAGGATTGCATAGTGAAGAACTGTACCATTCTTAAAATGATCATGCTGCACCACAAATGGAATTTTTGCATTCCCTGCCAGCTCACGATGTTGGCGAAGAAACTTGATCATATTATCCCAATCATTAGACTTCACATATTTGACGAAAGTTTGAGAGATATCCTCGGCATTGCTCTCATCATGTCCTGCATGCCGTGTCTGTTAATTGCTAAATTTCCCATACTTGCACAAAAATAATTAATACAATGTGAAAACAAATGGGAAATTCTACGGAAAATTTAACAAAATAATCCTACATTGAAAAATAATAAACAATATATAAAAGAGATTAAACCCCTAACTAATATCACCGGGGTCCATTGGTGATGTTGATGTTGGTGGTTTGCCATACTATTACCATTAAATAGAAGGGATTTTTGAACATTAGTCTTTACAAAATATTAGAATTAAAAAAAAAAAAAAAAACCTTGGTGCTAGATTACATATTCAATTTAATACTTTTATTAAACTTTATATTCTATTTTTGTTATTTAATGTCTCCACATTAAAATTTTAATTTTATTAATATGCACATATTAGTTCTTTCAATTATATATGATGGCATGGAAAGGTGTTGTGCCCTTACATGACCGTGTGAGTTCAAACCCCATCAGTGACTAATCTAACATTTAACTTACTAACGCTATCGTTTCACTAAAAAAAAATTATATATGAATATAAATGTGAAAATATTAAAAGAAATTAGTGACACATAAATATGTAAATACATAAGTGTACAAAAATGACTGTACCAAAATGTTTGTAGCGACATATATATAATGAACTTAAATGTATGTACTGAAATGTATTATATTGAATTAATGTACCTAAATGTTAATACCGAAATGTATTATATTAAAGTAATGTACCGAAATGTATTATATTGAATTAATGTACCTATACATTTGTATCAATGAATATACCAAAATATATCAAATGAATTAATGTACATAAAAGAAGATTATACATAAATAAATTAATGTACATAAATAAAGATCATTAATTACTATTAAATAGAATTATATACAAGTATTAATTTGTATAGATATATACCTACAGTGACAGTGAGACCTCCTTCCAATGTCGGCTCTTGCATAGCACCATGATCAGTCAGAATTGGATACACTTCGCCAACTGACATGTCCTCTGAAAATGAGAATTTTTTATGGTAAGATGACAGATGTTATCATTCACTTCTTAATTTTTTTTCCCCTTCATAATACATACAAATGCTCATGCATGTGAAAATAGTTACAAAATATTCCTCATCAACTTTTCATGTATGTACGTTCCTCTTTCATGTGATGGTTCATATCGCTTCATATCGCTTCAAATTAATATTCAACCAGATTTTATGTTAATAGAGTATCATGAAAGAACAAAAATGAAACAAAGTCAGCTGTCTAACACCACTTGAGGAGGGCAAGTGCCATAGTGGAAATTAAGCACTCATGTGGCCCTCCTTATCCAAATTCGAGGCTCCCCTTTCTCCTCAGAACCCCACCTAACTATTGACCAAAAAAAAAAAAAACGACACTACTTTATATAAATGCTAAGAACAAGAGAAGAAAACATAGTATTATATTTTATAAACAAGTCAACCAACAAGACCCAAGAACGAAAACAAACCAAAGTCCCGATTTGACAAGGAAGAAACTGCAATCCAAAATATAAACAATTTTGAAAATATAAGTCTACAAAATGGTTATAGGATTTGGAAGATGAAAAGAAGAAATTAAATCAAAAGAGAGAAGTGGAGAGAAATTTATAGAAACTTGAAAGAATATCAATCTCACAAAAGAAAAGGACCAACTACTAAGACAAGTAAGAATATCATTCTCACAAAAGAAAAGACCAAAGTAAAGTATAAAATCGGGGAAAGCTCCAATGCTATGTTTCATTCAATGTTACGGGATGTTCCAGCCGTTAACTTTGATTTCCACAGTTATTTAGATTTTTTATTTTTTATCTCAGCATTTCATTTTCTTTATAATTCATTCTCTTTATCTTTCTTTTTTTGGTCTACTTGTACTTTACAAATTTACTTAATCAACACTTATGTAATTCCTATAGATGATTGAATTATTACTTAAATGTTGATTACTTCATATTGGTGACACATCATTTAGTTTGCAAATTTGGTTTAATAATTTGGTCTCCCTATCATTACCCTTTCATTTAACATTCCAAACAAATACAGATGTGTTGATTGGGGACAATGTTCTAGTGACCTAGTGTTGGAGAACAATTTAGAACCAATAAATAACATAAATACAGTACCGAAATACTTATACTTTATTATTCAAAAATACTTGCAATACAGAATGCAATTACACAATAAATACAAAAAATTAAAGTGATACTAACTTGAACGAATTGAAGGTAGAGGCTAGCGAAAATGTTATGTCCTTCGAACAGTATTTCCGTCCCACTCGTGTGCTTGTGGTTCTACAACGTCTGCTCGACCAGGATACAACTACCTAATTCTACAACCCGCACTGGATTATAGAACTCTAGCGAATTGCTTTGTGTGTTTACTCTCTGGAAATTTTGTACAGAAGACAAGGAGGGAAGAAAAGATAATTCTCACTTGATACTATGATGGCAAATATATAGACTGTTTTACACCCTTTCAAATACCTATTCAGTGTATTTGAAAGTACACAACTCTTTCTACTAGCTGTGTCTTTTAATCAAAACGTACAATTCTTTCTAATAGATTGTCTTTTAATCAAAACGTTTTTTAATTAATAAATTAATTAATAAACTTAATCCGAAAATTAAAATTAATGAATCTGATTAATTTTAAATTCCAAGGCCCCAAGGCCCTTGTCTTGATTAATTAATATTAATTGTATTTAGGCTATATTATATTCAAGCCTAATCCACACAACCATAAGGTCCAAGCCTTCAATCCATTTTCAAATGGTTCAAGTTCTAATTACTAAGAAAAGGGAATAAGCCTATATAAAGGCTAGTGAAAAAATACTATTGACCAATGTGGGACAAGAGGGTCTCAAACTCCAACACCTAGAAATTAATCTGGAGTGAATTTGCTCCAACAAGAGAACTATAGTAAACTCCTAAATAGCTACCACATGTACCAAAACTACACATGCCACCATACTAATCTAACACAAAATGATAGATGCAACAGATTTGTAGATGTGACCACACAAGTCGACACTGAATAGTGAGGCGCAACCTATACCACAAAACGATAGATGCAACACATTTGTATCATTGACTACAACAAGTCATCGCTGAATAACGTGGCCACATAAAGTCATAGTGGAGAAGCGATACCATGTAAAGTTATTGTTGGTAGATCAAAACACATAACTCGTCGCTCAAGGTGAAAACTACATCCAGCCAATGTTGTAGCACAATCCAACACTCGCCAGGCGAGATAATGAAACTAAACTTAATTACTCGAAGAAGGAAATCACTTGTTGGCTCATTCCAATGTAGGATTAGGACACTCTAGCAAAGCTACATGTAATGTCAATGCTCAAGTTGGATCTGCAAATCTACGAATCAAGTTCGAAGACTCCAAAAACATATAAAAATACAAAAATTGCTCATCATCATTAAATTTAATAAATTAAAAAAATTGTTAGAAAATTATATTCCACATGAAGCTGGTGGTAGATGTGTGACAGATGTGAGATATATATATATATATATATATATATGTATATGTATATGCATGCCTTGTTGGACATATTTGATAAGTGGAGCCTTCTTTGCTCCTCCCATCATGCATATGGTCGGTTTGATTTTCTTTTTTTGAGTAAAAGCATCTCCAATAGTGTAGGATTTTGAATAGGCAAACTCATTTTGATGAGCAATGTAAGTCAAAATTAACTTCAATGGTATAGGCAATTGATGCCTACTCCTCAGAAGTAGCCAATATTTTCTAGAGAGATGATTTTCAACCAGAATTTTTAGCTTATCGCACATTTTCTATATTTCTAGTTATCGCATTAAACGAAAATAACGGTAAGGATTAAACAAAGGTGTGAGACTATAAAGAGTGTTTATAATTTCTTTATTTTTTACAACACTACAAGTTGACAAATCGGGCCGACAACACTTTTTATGGGTTAAAACCTTTTTGATCATCGAGTATGGTTAAAATCTATTTTAATTACTATGTTTTTTATTTAGTCAATATGTGTGTTTTCCAACCTTTACAATTTGGGTCACTTTCTATTAAGAAATATATTCATTTACATATTAAAAATGAATAAAAAAAAGTACTAACAATTTCTCAAGAACTTCAGAAATTTTGTACAAAGAGTGAGCTCAGGCTAGTAAAAATTGAATGAAAGGGGACACACAAAGCCACTGGTCTCCTTCCTATAAAGCAAAAGCAAAGCCTGTGATTTAGATAAATGACGTTTGTGTCTGTATTCCGACATACTGAAAAATCTCTTTAAATCAAGATCCTAAAATGCATTCGCAACAAATAAAACGACCACAACGATAAAAAGTGAAAAATATCAAAAGCAGCAAAACTGAAGCAAAGTGCGGAGAGTTAGTTATATCTGAAGGACCTTAGTAACCCGTTATAGCAAACAACGCCACCAAAAGCAAATTCTTTTTGAAGGGCAGCTCATCGGCTCCACCAATTCCCAAACAAAACCTGCACATCAAGGAAAGAACCCGAATGAATGAATTCACAGGTCCGCAACTCAGGGAACCAAAAAAAAAAAAAAGAATTAAATAAATAAAAGACAAAACATCGACCAGAAGATTGTAAAGCACATACATCCCTTCAACTGAATAACCGCACCATGTTCGCATCTGTTGAACAGCTTGATAAGGTCACAGACAATAAATCAAGAATTGAGAGTTAGATTAAGCTTTCCATTAAATGCTATTTCAAACCTCCTAACATTATTTTGACAAAAACAAAAAATTAGAAAATGGGCGATCTTCTTCTTTTGGGTAAGAGCATCTCCAATGGTGTAGATAATTGAATAGGCAAGCTCATTTTGACGAGCCATGTAGGTCAAAAGTAACTCCAATGGTATAGGCAGTTGACGTCTACTCCTCACAAGTAGGGGATGTTTTTTAAAGATATGATTTCACACAATTTTTATTTTCTCACACATTTCTATATATATAAAAGAGGCCAAAAAGAGTGCATATAATTTCTTCATTTTTTTTAACCACACTATAACTATAAGTAGGGAAATCAAGCCCCAAAACACTTGGGTTAAAACATTTTTGGTCACTGTGTTTATAATTAAAACAACAACGACAATCAAAAAGAAAAAAAAAAAAAAAAGTCAAAAGCAGCAAAACTTAAACAAAGATATAAAAGAGGCTAAAAAGAGTGTTTATAATTTCTTCATTTTTTTACCAAACCATAACTATAAGTAGGCAAATTTCGACCAAAAAAAAAAAAAACCACTATAAGTAGTAGGCAAATCAAGCCTCACAACACTTGGGTTAAAACATTTTTTTATCACTGTGTTTATAGTTAAAACAACAACGACAATCAAAAAGTGAAAAAAGTCAAAAGCAACAAAATTTAAACAAAGTGCGCATAGTTAATTATCTCTAAAGGAACTCAATAGATTCTAAAGCACATACATCCCTTCAAGCAAAGTGCGCATAAAAGAACAAGAAGATTCTAACATCCCTTCAAGCCTTCAAACTGAAGAATCGCACCATGTTTAGCATCTTCAATGCTATTACTATATCAGTTTGAGAGAGAGAGAGAGAGAGAGAGAGAGAGAGAGAGAGAGAGAGAGAGAGAGAGAGAGAGAGAGAGAGAGAGAGAGAGAGAGAGAGAGAGAGAGAGAGAGAGAGAGAGAGAGAGAGAGATGTAATTGGTATGAGTCGATTTGGCAATGTCTTTATGTGTAGAGGTGTATCAGGGACTAGGATTTTCTCCCCTCCTCTTTTCATTCCCTTCCCTTCTTTCCTCTCACATTTTCTATTTGTCTTTTTCTGTAGAAAATGATTTTCCCTTATTTTATTGATTCCAGAATTACAAGATATATAGAACATATTTGATACAATAATTAATTATAATTGAAATCACCAAGTCAACCCTATACAATCATTCTAAATTTAACACAATCAAGAGGATTGAGGAGAGATATGTGGAGATGATGGAATCTCGCTAACACCCCCCCGCAAACTGGACGGCCTCGGTTGTACAAGTTTGGAGCAAAGAAGGGTGTGACGCGGCTTGTGCAGCGCTTTAGTAAGAACATCAGCTGGCTGATCGATGGATGGCACAAAGAAGACGCGATGACTACCAACAGTAACCTTTTCACGGACGAAGTGGTAGTCAAGTTCAATGTGACGAGTGCGAGCATGGAAGACGGGGTTGGCAGCCATGTAGGTGGCGCTGAGATTGTCGCAGTAAAGATGAACGGGAAACTGGATGGAGACGCCGAGTTCATAGAGAAGATAGGATAACCATGTTGTTTCTACACAAGAGTGAGAGAGGGACCTGTATTCGGACTCAGCACTGGATCTAGCAATAGTGGGCTGTTTCTTTGAGCACCATGAGACAAGATTCGAACCCAAGTAAATTAAGTAACCACTGGTAGAGCGGCGTGTATCAGGGCACCCCGCCCAATCGGCATCGGAATAAGCACAAAGGCGTGCGGTTCGTAATTGAGGTGTAAAGATAAGGCCATGATCGAGAGTCCCTTTGACGTACCGAAGAATACGCTTGGCGGCAACAAGATGAGGAGCACGTGGGGCACTCATAAACTGAGAAACTGTATTCACCGCATAAGTAATGTCGGGACGTGTCAAGGTGAAATATTGAAGGCAGCCAACAAGTTCACGAAACTCCGTGGGAGAAGAGAGGAGAAGACCATCAGTATTGGACAAAACCACCTTTGCAGCGATGGGTGTAGTGACGGGCTT